GAATTTTGTGCACCGGGCCTCTAGTATCCTATATAATAAAAGAGAAACATGGTAATTAGCCATACCTCCGCTACCCTTCCCATTGGCTAATCAGGGCGATATGCAAATTAACTGCCAGCCAAGATGGCAGCCGGCAGCCAGGCAGCTTGAAGCGAACATGAGGCTTGCTTGCTTCAGTGACGGAGGAAGCCAACGTTCCCCGCCTGCCACTGCCAGCCTCTGAGCTTGCAGTTTGAAACATTGTTACAAATATAGAAGCTAAACAAAACCCCAGAAACCTGCTTTCAGTCAGCCGGGATCTCAGAGCTGGAGTTGAAACAGTGTTTCAATTATAGAACCCAAACAAACCAGATACCTGCTTTCAGCAGCCGAGGCCTCAGAGCTGGAGCCGAGCCTCAGAGCTAAAGCTGACCCAGAATAAAAAAGAAAAAGAAAAAAAGGAGCAGTTGGGAGCTTCAGTCACCCGCCAGCCTGAAAACAGCCCTCAGCCCCTCACCCAGACTGGCCAGGCACCACAGTGGGGACCCCCACCCTGAAGGGGGTGTGACCAGCTGCAAACAGCCATCAGCCCCTCACCCAGGCTGGCCAGGCACCCAAAGCGGGACCCCCACCCTGATCCAGGACACCCTTCAGGCCAAACCAGCCGGCCCCCACCCGTGCACCAGGCCTCTATCCTATATAGTAAAAGGGTAATATGCCTCCCAGCACCGGGATCAGTGGAGCCGGAAGGCCTCCCGGCACCGGGATCAGCGTGACAGGGGGCAGCGCCCAAACCCCCTGATCGCCCTGCGGCTCTGTGTGTGACAGGGGGTGGGGCCACAACCTCCCTATCCGCCCTGCTCTGTTCGTGACAGGGGAAGGCACCCCAAACCCCTGATCGGCCCTGCTCTGTGCCTGATAGGGGGGAGCTCCCCAACCCCCTGATCACCCTGCGGCTCTGTGTGTGACAGGGTGCGGCGCCCCAACCCCCTGATCGGCCCTGCTCTGTGTGTGACAGGGTGCGGTGCCCCAACCCCCCTCCCCCCACGGGCCCTGCTCTGTGTGTGACGGGGTAGAGTCATAACCTCCCCATCGGCCCTGCCCTGAGTGTGACAGTGGCGGCGCCCCAACCCCCTGATCCGCCCTGCTCTGTGTGTGACAGGGGGTGGTGCCCCAACCCCCTGATGGGCCCTGCTCTGTTCATGACAGGGGGGACCTCCCCAACCCCCTGTTGGGCCCTGCTCTGTGCGTGACAGGGGGGAGGTCCTCAACCCCCTGATCCGCCCTGCTCTGTGCATGACAGGGGGCGGTGCCCCAACTCCCCTATCGGCCCTACTCTGTGCGTGATGGGGGCAGCGCCCCAACCCCCTGATCGGCCCTGCTCTGTGCGTGACAGGGGGTGGCACCGCAACCTCCCCATCGACCCTGCCTTGAGTGTGACAGTGGGCGGTGCCCCAACCCCCCAATCGGCTCTACCCTGAGCGTGACTAGGGGTGGCATCGCAACCTCCCGATCCGCCCTCCTCTGTGCATGACAGGGGGCGGCTCCCCAACTCCCCAATCGGCCCTGCTCTGAGCCCGACCAGGGGCTGCACCTAGGGATTGGGCCTGCCCTCTGCCACCCGGGAGCAGGCCTAAGCCAGCAGGTCGTTATCTCCCGAGGGGTCCCAGACTGTGAGAGGGCACAGGCCGGGCTGAGGGACCCCCTCCCCCCCCCCGAGTGCACAAATTTTTGTGCACCGGGCCTCTAATATATATATAAAAGGCTAATATGCTATCCGTGTAATGACATCACATAGCAATGCCTGGCTTCCTTTCCCTAGTGCAGTGATGGCGAACCTATGACATGCGTGTCAGAGGTGACACGTGAACTCATTTTTTTGGTTGATTTTTCTTTGTTAAGTGACATTTAAATATATAAAATAAATATCAAAAATATAAGTCTTTGTTTTACTATGGTTGCAAATATCAAAAAATTTCTATATGTGACACGGCACCAGAGTTAAGTTAGGGTTTTTCAAAATGCTGGCACGCCGAGCTCAAAAGGTTCGCCATCACTGCCCTAGTGACTAGCCTCCTTGCAGTTTCTTCAGCCCAGGAACACAACTTGTTTTATAGCCAGGTGCAAACATTTTACACTTTAACCAAATGTCTGTGAAGTGTTTTCCCATGCCTCATCTCATTTGATCTTCACAGAAGTCCTGGAGTAGGTAGATAGGACACTTAGTAGAATCCTATTTTCTTTATACTAGCTGGAAAATGGAGATTTAGAAAGCTTAGAAACTTGACCCAACTGAAAAGAAGAAATGCTGGATCTTGAAAACGACTTCAGGTTTTCTCACTGCACAGAATATAGTCAAACACTGTCACAGTTAAATATTTTACCCTTTGTTCTCCCTTCATGATCTACAATAAAAATCTGCTTCGTGTTGATATTTACTGCTGTGTTGCTGACAATTACCTGAAAGAGAAGTTGGGGTGCTTCCCTGGGCTGGAAAAATTTTAGCTAAATCAGAAAGCAGATCTAATTAAGCAAGTTTATTCTATATATATAAAAGGCTAAATTGACTCACGCATATGCGATACATATAAAGCTCTCGCTGGCGCCAAGCACATGCATGTTTCGATCTGTCATTGTCAATTGTGAATTTGGTTGACACTTCTATTATAGAGAAAGGGCGAATAGCAATATTAAAATATTTCTTCTAATTAATTTACTTTCAGTGTGCACAAATTTGTGCACCAGGCCACTAGTATAACATAAAAAGTAAAGCACCACTACTCTACTCCACCGAACCAGCACAAACTCTTGAACCAGCCAACCCCCAGTATTTCCCTGGTGTCCTCAGAAAAGATACAAGTACAAGGTACTATTTTTATTTGGTATAAAGAGGTCATTTAAAAGTCCAACCAAGTTCAAATACTAAGGCTCAAATTGTAACCAGAATTTGGAGACTCTTATTTCTCTATCCTTCTATTAATACTAATTATAGAAAATAGCATTAAATACAATACAAATCTGTATACAACTTAGACATCGATAACAAGTAAAAACAACAATATTAATTTTATCCAACATCTGTTTTAAAAAACACACTTTAATTTGAAGTATTAAATTAACTGAAAAATAGCTGATTACTAAAAATTTACTTTTTATATTACCTGTCCCGGTCCATGCTGACTGGCCATCAGTAAGTGTAACAACAAAGCCAGATCCAAGTGTTTTTTCCCAAGTGACTTGTAGAAAATGAATTATATCAGGTTCAGAATCAAGGCAGATTCTGATTACTTTTTTCTCCATTTCTGGTCACCTATCAAGTAAGAATAAAATTAATATTTTAGCAAGAAATTGTGACTATCCAACACCAATGTTTTCTATATTGGTTTCTCAGCTATAGCACCAAGAAAATAAGTTTTTTAAAAAAAACCAACCACTAAACTCAATGAATCAGTTCTGTTCAATACTGTTTCACAGTTTTTATAGATGTGAAAAGTGGAGGCCCATTAATGGGGAATGATTTGCCCAAATCATGAAGCTAAATAAAAATTACTATCTCCAATATGAAGAGTAAATTTTCTACAAGATCCAATAGCCTCTTTCTCTATCTGTGAAAGAATATTTGAAATGAAAAAAAGGCAGTAAGAACAGAGGCTAAGAATATCTTAGAACCCAAAAGTTGGTAGTCATGCCTTCTCCAAGAAAGAAGTTCCCAAGCTCAGTGACTCACTCGGTCCCCTGAGACAGGAACACCCTGCAATAGAGATGTGTTATATGGAAGTATTGCAGCTTAAAAACAATAAACGATTTTTTGCATTTTTAAAATTTGGATTGAAGTAGTATATCCAGGGGAAAGTACACATATAAAATTACAACTTTATGAATATAACATTGAGCAAATCCATGTAAGCAATACCTAAATCAAGAACATTACTACCCCCCAAGAACTAATTCTCACAATACCTCCCTTCAAGTCCCCAAATAACCACTCTTCACACTTCTAACAGATATTAGAGCTTGAGTGTTTTTGTACTTTTATTTAAATACTAGAGGCCCGGTGCACGAATTCGTGCATGGGTGGGGTCCCCAGGGTGGGGGTGGGAGACCCTTGCCGGTCCGGGATCCAGATCCATCCTGCTGACATTCACACCGGTTATCAGGAGCCACCTGGCGGCCTCTTTTATAACTTTCTTCCTTGAGGAGTGTCTAGGGAGGGGAAGCAGCTGTGGTGCCTGAGGCCGATTGCCAGGAGGCCAGGGGCACTGTCAGGATCGTGCCCACGGTGCTGGTCCGTTGGTGCCTACCCCATTCTCCAGAGATTGGACCTGCAGGACTACTGAGGAGTGAGTGGCTGCCGCTGGGCTGGTGGGCTGCTGGGACGGGTCAGTCAGCTGAGTGGTGCTCCTGCTGTGGGAACACACTGACCAGCAGGGGGCTGCTCCTGCATTGAACATCTGCCCCCTGGTGGTCAGTGCATGTCATTGCGACTGGTTGACCAGTCATTCTGGTCATTCTGGTCATTCAGTCGTTTGGTTGCTTAGGCTTTTATGTATATAGACTAGAGACCCAATACACGAAATTTGTGCAAGAGTAGGCCTTCCCTCCCCTGGCTGCCGGCACCAGCTTCCCTCTGGCACCCGGGAGCTGAGCTTCCCTCCCTTCAGCTGCCGGCAGGCACCCAGGACCCAGGCTTCCCTGCAGCCGCCAACAGGCAACGGGGGCCCGGACTTCCCTCACAGCCATGGCTTCGTCCAGAAGGACATCTGGTCTAATTAGCATATTACACTTTTATTATAAACACACAGCATATTTTCTGTCTGGCTTCTTTTACTCAACATTATATTTGAGAAATTCATGCATATTTTCTTAAGAGTTGTAAGAAGATCACATATACTATTCCATTATATACATTGAGTGGCAAGATTATTATGACCACTTGACGTTTGTAGGCAAATTAGCTATAATTTCGCTCTGAAGTTGCTAGAGGGCCAGACCATTATAAATAGGGAAGCAGGTTGTTTACCATGACACTAGAAGTGATTTTTTTCTGAAGATATGGGTAAACAACGCAATTTAACAGCCTTTGAACATGGGATATATTTGAATGTGAGTGTCCAATTATGACCACCTGACGTTTGTAGGCAAATTAGCCGTACACTGCATCATATGGGATATGGAAGCCAAAGAACACCTTTGCTGTCTGCAGTTACCAAGATAAAACGTCTCCAATTCACACCGGAACACAAGGATTGAACAATCGAGCATTGGAAAAAAGTCATGGTCCGATGAATCACGTTTCCAGTTGCATCATGCAGATGTCAGGGTGAGAATTTGGCGGAAACTGCATGAAAGCATACACCCCACATGCATGAGTACAACCCTTCAACTGGTGGGGGCAGTGTTATGGTTTGGGGCATGTTTTCCTGGCATGATTTGGGCCTTTTAATTCGTGTGGAACAACATCTGAATAGCACAACATAACTAAGTATCGTTGCTGATCAAGTTCATCCTATCATGTTAATGGCGTATCCCAATGGAGATGGCTTCTTCCAATAAGACAATTCGCCATGCCACGGTGCTTGTATTGTGCAGGAGTGGTTTCAAGAACATGAGGGAGACTTTACCTTGCTTAGGTGACCCCCACAATCACCAGATCTCAATCCAATTGAGCATTTGTGGGACGAAGTTAAAAGAGCCATCAGGCAGCTGGTTCCACAACCATCAAATCTCACAGAACTGGACAGTGCTATTCATCAGGCATGGTGTCAGATTCCTCGCATCACCTTTCTACATCTCGTGGAGTCAATGCCAAGAAGAATCGCCGCAGTATTTAAGGCAAGATGTGGCCCAACAAAGTACTGATGGGTGGTCATAATAATCTGGCCGCTCTGTGTGTGTGTGTGTGTGTGTGTGTGTGTGTGTGTATGTATGTATGTATCCCACATTCAAAGGCTGTTAAATCGCGTTGTTTACCCATATCTTCAGAAAAAAATCACTTCTACTGTTGTGGTAAACAACCTGCTTCCCTATCTATAATGGTCTGGCCCTCTAGCAACTTCAGCACGAAAGTATAGCTAATTTGCCTACAAACGTCAGGTCATAATAATCTGGCCACTCAGTGTATAGTATAATTTGTTTATCCATTCTACTAGTGATAGACATTTGAATACATTCCAGGTTTTGACTATCACAAATAGTGCTGCCATAAACATTCTAGCAAATACCTACAGCATATATACATATGGTCAGTTTTAGTACTATACGGCCAAAAATTTTCTAAAAGGTTTGTACCAATATAAACTTAGTATATGAGATTGCTTGACGACCTTGCAAACATTTCTCATTTTTAATTTTAGCCATTTTAATATGTATGCAGTATTATATTATGGTTTTAATTATAATTCCTGGATGAGAAATGATGTTGTGTACTTTTCATATATTTATTGGGCATTTGAATATCAAGTTTTGTGGAATATCCATTCAGTTATCTTTTTCTTGTTGATGTTCTTATTGATTTGTTTTTTTTTCTTTTTTATTTGTTCTTTATATTGTGGCTATTAATCCTTTTATAGACATACTAGAGGCCCGGTGGGGTCCCTCGGGGTGGCCTGTGGGGATCTGGCCCCAACTCACTCCCCAGGCTCGCAGCCCTAGCTTGCGCCCGCAGCCTTGCAGCCCCGCAGCCCTGCCTGACACCCCACCATGGTCTGGCGCCACCCCCTCACCTGCTCCACCGTCCAGCCTGCAGGATCGAATCAGGGCCGGCCCCTCATCCGGCTCCCTCAGCGCCTGGGAGCAGAGCGGCGACCCCGCCCCCCACCACTGACGCCGGTCACTGTCTGCAGGGAGATCAGTGGGGCAATAGGGCCCCCATTGCACCCGTGTTGGCCTGGTGCCGCTTGCTCACTTGCTCCACCATCCCGCCATGGTCCCACTCTTGTCGGGGCCCATCTGGGCTGGCAGCACCTCCACTGCCACCCACCGCCAGCGCCGTGTCGCCAACGCCCACCATGTTCCACGCTGTCCCCTGGTGGTCGGCGCACATCATAGCAAGTGGTCGAACTCCCAGTCAAACAACCGCCCGAGGGGATATTTGCATATTAGGCTTTTATTATATAGGATGTACTGTGAATATCTTCTTCAACTCTGTAAGTTACCTTTTCATTTTCATAATGTATCTTTGGATGAAATGTCTTAATTTTAATGAAGTTACAATTAACCGAAGTATTTATGGTAATACTTTTTGTGTTCTGCTTAAGAACTCTTTGGACACTAAGATGTTCTCCTATGGCTATCTCAAAGTTTTACAATTTTATCTCTCACATTTAGATCTGCAATTGATTTCTGTGCATTGTGTCCAGGAGGGGTCAAAATATATTTTTACCATATGGATATCAAATTGATCCTGTACTATTTATTAAAGACTATCCTTCCCTGACTGCACTGCTAAATCTCCTTTATCTTTAGTCATGTGACTGAATATATGTATAAGGTTAAATATTGTTTCTTTGTTTCTGCAGGGGTGCAATTTTATGTTTTACTAGAGGCCCAGTGCACAAATTTCATGCATGGGTAGGGTCCCTAGGCCTGGCCAGTGATCAGGGTCAATCGGGACCTTAAGGCTGCCAGCCAGGGCCTTCCTTCATTCCGAGCCGCCCCCTGGTGGTCAGTGCACGTCATAGCGAGCGATTGAACTTCCCGGCTGAACTTTGT